ACAATTTCTGTCTCTTTAATCTGTGTCACTAGTTGAAATTCCAATGATGACCAGGAGATGGAGACATTACAAAAGGAACACTGTTTGCTAAGTGTCAGCTCATATGTTTCCTTTTATTGCAGAATAAGAAGAACAAATTGTTACCCTTGTACTCGTTAGTGTGAGCTCCCCCGTTGATGTAGTGCAAGTCAGTCTGTTCATCAGTGGCGTGTTTTGTGTGTCTCTTCACAGTGGAGAAGTACAAAAACTGGCAGCCCCTGGCAGCTTCCAGTAACTGTGATAAAGCCTTGGACCCTCTGTTTAACCTCAAGAGTAAGTAAAACTCTGACTTGAGCTTCCTCTGTTCTGGAATTCTTTCTTCTTTCTCTCTTTAAATCTTCACAGGATAAGAGTTAAAACCACAATGTGGTTTTTTTTTTTCAGGTTTCTCCAGATTTCAAAGCAGGAGTTACAGCTTTGTCAAACATCCCCAACATACAGCGTCATGACGACTACCTGGTTATGCTTAAGGTGAGAGCGCTCTAAAGGGCGCTTTACTACTGTAGCAAAGCTCAGCTTGGCACAGAGAAAGAAAAAGTTGGTCAATAATCAGTATAGTTGGTGAAGTTTGTGTTTGCTTCACAATAAAAGCCCTTAAAATGCCTTTCATGTGAGCTGGCAACACGAGTAAAGCCCTAATTTGTTCTTTGAATGCAGATTAATGGTCAGATTGATAACAGAGACAAAAGTTGGTATTCTGATCCAAGAGAGACTTTCTCCAGAAGCCACCGCTAAAGCAACAATAGAGAGGTAAACTCAAAACATCCATCCATCCATCCTCTTCCACTTATCCAGGACCAGGTTGCAGGGGCAGCAGCTTAAGCAGAGAAGCCCAGACCTCCCGCTCCTCAGCCACCTCCACAAAGGTGTTTTCAGGCCAGCCGAGAGATATAATCGCTTCAGCGTGTCCTTAAATACACTGGGAAATAACGAGAGGAATGAGACACAGAAGGGGAGCACAGGTAGGAGAAATCAGACATAACGAGAGCCAAGGGAAGCGAAACACAATATATTCACGTAGGACACAGACCTTTAAAGTAAAACAGGAAATGTAACACAGAGATGCAGACTGGACTAGGAGATACAGCTGACAGGAGAGACAGAGCAACAAAGAAACACAGATATCAACATAAAGGAGCACAGAGGGCAGCTACTAAATACTCAGAAAACTAAACAGAATACAAGAAACCCAAGACACTAGACTCTATAGAATAAACTGGGGCAACAAAGAGAACTTAGAACATACATCATAGTACAAAAACACTGAGATACAAGAAACTCAACACTGGGTCAGGAGACCCAGGATCCTGACACTTCAAAGTGAATAATACTAAGCGATCACCCTTCATGACACCATTTAAACAATTAGAATTCCAACTGTGCGTCTAAGAGGGCACTGCCAAATGTGGGTGTGCTTTGGTGAACATCAAAACACATCTTTACCACGTCGTCCTACGCTGAAAGCTTTGTTAATCAAACGTGACATGTTTCTTGTGATCGGTTCAGTGGAAAATTTCATATTTCCTTCTGTGATCCATCCATCCATTTAGAGTTAAACTGTTCTAGTGAGCCTGTTGCATTTGTCAGAAATCAGCAGTTGTCATGAGGCATCTAACTGGTGAATAATTTGAGGCATACTGCTAGAATGTATGTACATCTGCCCCAGATAATCCAAAAAAAAAAATTCAAAGATTAGACAAAGATACTGGCAGAGTCAATACAAAATATGCTAGGCCACTCTAAAACTTCCATTTCATGAACTCTGACCTTAAATGAGGCAAGTGGAACCTGAAATGTTGTTGTGGGGCTTTTTGTCACCTCCTGAATGAATCTTCGATGAAGTCTTGGAGAAACAGATTAGGCCTTCGCTCTATACTAAACAGTGGTGTTCACTGCTAACTTACTTGAGTACACCAGTTTGTATCCTTCTGTCAAGGGCAAAGACCAAATGTGTGCATGTGTGAGTGAGTTTACTTTGAGTATATCACCCTGGGCAAGATGAGAGGTTCTTGCAGAGATGTTGATTCCTTTCCCAGCTTGAACCTCAGATCAACATCAAATCGAAATTAGCACTAATGACCCACATAGCAGGTGACAAGCCCTCACAAAGGTTTGAAGACTGGTAATACATTTGACATCTCTTAAATACTTGCAATGATCAATAGCCATTATTTTTCTCAATAAAAACTCATGTCATGCATATTCTGAAGCGTTAAGATCTATGACCTTGATGCTGTAGATGCACTTGTGGTTGTTCATTGTTCATTGGGTAGTTTGGCGAGAGCAGTATCCCTTCATTATCTATTACTGAAGAACGACACTCTGCTGAAGACAGAGGATGACAATTAAAAAATGCACAATATGGAGACATTAGTTTAATTCTTAAGAGGCTTATAAGGATGTGGAGTGGTCACGTGAACCGGTTTTTGTTGTGCCACAAATTGACCTGCATTTAAAGCTTTAATGATAAACAAAAGCTGTGTTCTGCAGCTTAATAAAGAGGCTTGTGGCTTTTTAAAGTCGCTGGTCCTACCAGATAAAAGTATTTGCCCATTTTCTGTGCAGCTAGGGGGAACGCAGGCTGTCCTCAGAGTAATAATCAGTGAAATTCCTTTGTTCTTAATATAAATGAAAAATGAGTCTCATGAGTCTCATTAGGGTTGTTTTTTATGTTTCTGTGTTCAACCGATGTAATAAAATATAACTGTAAAGCTTCTACAGCTTTTAAAACCTTAGTTGTTCCACTTTTTTTTACATGAGCAGTGTTACAAAAACTACAATACAAAAAATACAAAAACTATTTACATTTTAACTTTTAACTATTTAAATTTTCAGCTTTCTGTCACGGGTTGCAAGCCGTGTGAGAATTATTTAGGACCCAAAATGCGGCAGCTGTGGTGCAAGTGAGTTTATTAAACCAAAAGAGGATACAACAGGAATGGCGAGGGTGAACATGAAACTAAGAAAACCTAAACTGGGAAAAACTAACAGAAACTAACCAGAAACAGATATGCAGGGAGGTACGGGGAAATTCACTTCAAAGATCTGGCTCTATTTGTTTCATTCGCGACCGACACATCACTAGTGCAGATAGTGGCAATGAGCTCTCCCTTGCAGGGCCCTTTCTAAGAAATTTGACATCATAATCTTACAAGTTTCATTGTAGGTTCAAAGTTATTTTCCCCAGTAAAAAGTTACAGTCAGTCAAAAAACTTATTTTTTTTATGCAGGAGTGGCACATGCTCAGCAGAACAGAGCTAGAGATATAACAAGTAGACAATTGTAAAAGGGAATTTTTTAATCAACGTGAGACCTAGCCAGGTTTTTGTATCTGTATTAAGTGGTGTCTTAAACTTTTTTGATTAATTTCTTTTCTAAAAAAGGAATTAAATTTTTTTTTATCACATAATAAACTTTAGTGTCATTTGTAAAGCTGACTTTAGGTGGCACTACTACCACTATTACCACAAAGTAAACCAATGATTCGATACAGTATTTGAGATTTGAGCTTTCTCAGCAGATACATGGAATAGACTACAAAACAGTTCATTTGATGCCAGTCCCACTCTCTCTCTGTATGTCACTCACTCGCTGATACTAACTGTCAACTCATTACTTTTTTTTCTCTGTCTTGCGCCCCCCCCCCCACCCCCCACCCCCACACGCACACACACACACAAAAATTTAAATTTAATCATGTTTCAAATTTAATTTCAATCTGCATGTATTTCAATATAAACTATTGGAAGTAAAACAGAATTTTAAAACAAAAAACCATAAAGAGAACTTAAAAGTATTCCAGCTGCCAATTTGTACACTAATGAGTCTAGTGTATTTCTCTCTCTCTCTCTCTCTCTCTCTTTCTGACACAGACACATTCAGACACATGCGCGCTCACCCGTATCATTTTATAACTCAAATTTCCGAGCACCTCCTGAACACCTCATCTTTCGCCGCGCCAACCGCCCTCATTCCACCTTAGCTGACTACTTGTGTGAGTAAAAAAACTTTCAGTCTTACTGTTATTTTGACTGACCATAAAAATACAAAGTTGACATTTAAATCACATGACAAGTCTTTTAAATAAACTGAATTCAAAGACAAATAGAGGAAAAAAAATAACCTTCTTTTACCCTTAGAGTTTGTTGAAAATTCTGTTAGCGCCACAGGCTAACTAGCACTTTAAAAAGTCACTCCCTTGATGCTCGCTACTCCCTTGTAGGACTAGCTAGATGCTGAAGTAGCACAACCGCAACTTATGGTAACCTGCACTTCCAGCTCGTCTTGTAATCGGAAGGTTGCGGGTTTAAGCCCTAGCTCGGACAGTCTCGGTCGTTGTGTCCTTGGGCAAGACACTTCACCTACTGCCTACTGGTGTTGGCCAGAGGGGCCGATGGCGCCATATGGCAGCCTCGCTTCTGTCAGTCTGCCCCAGGGCAGCTGTGGCTACAACTGTAGCTTGCCTCCACCAGTGAGTGAATGAATAGTGGAATTGTAAAGCGCTTTGAGGATCTCGAAAAGCGTTATATAAATGCAATCCATTATTATTATTATTACCTGCACTTCCGTTCTGGTGTTGTGGCAAAAACAAAATGAAGAAACAAACATAAACAAAACACTGCTCCACTTTAACCCCTTACTTTGGCAGAAATCATCTCTCATTATCCTATAATATAGGCTGCTGCATAATAAACAAAGATTTTTGGAGGCTAATAGTAACGTGAAACAATAACTCCTCCGAAATGCATTAAAACAAAAGAGGCGCCTCTTTGAAAATGTAAGGAGCAGAAAGTACAAATATTTGTTTAAAAATGTATGGAGTAAGAGTAAAAAGTAGTGAGAAAAAACTACTCAAGTAAAATACAGATGTCTTTAAATTCTGCTAAGTGTGAAGAAATCGACCCAACACACACAATCTTTGCGTGCTCAGTGTGGCTTTTATTGAATACCCAGCAGCTGATACTGTTGTTTTCGGTACTCAGACGCAGGAAACAGGCACACCTTAGCTGCTGCAACCAATCCGCTCTTCCGGCTCCACCGTTACTAAATACACAGAAGGGGAAGAAAGATCACACACCCCGGCCACATTAAGTAAGTTACTTTAAGTAAGTACAGTAACAAAATATTTGCATTTCGTCACTTCCCACCTCTGCACTTAAGAGAATCAAGTACAGAGCAGGCTCTTCTGTGTTTTCATGGCAGCATGGAAAACACTTATGCTTACTCCAAGCACTGCTGCGAGTTTGGCCGTCAGTGTCAGTTTTCGGATTCGCCTGCTGAGCTGCTGGTGGACATCCACCCGGACCCAAGCCTGGCCCTCAACTTCAGCCAGAAGAGCCACCGGGACCTGGCCACGCAGACAGGTGTGGAGATGTCAGAGCACGAGGTGAGCCTCACTCCCAAGAGATCATGGGATAATTATCAACTAAATTATCAAAATCAAATAATAAAATAATTATTACAGAAAACGTTAAAAACAAAATTGTATGAATCTGAAGGGTTTTGATGCATGCAGACTGAAATGACTTATGTCAGTCTGAAATTACCTGCCACTTAAGTAACTTATTACTTAAACTTCATTCCAAAAAGTTTGAATAGAGATGCCAGACTAGAATATGTGACCGTGATCTGCCAGAACTTCCCAGTCCCAGTTTCTTATGTGGGCCCTTGGGAGAATTAATTGCCTGCCTCATCATAGACTGTGAGCCTGAGGAGCCATGCTGATGGTTTTCTCTAATTTTTACTGCAGCGTTTCTTTGTAGTTTGTAGAAATGGAGATGTTTTATTTTTCTGAAGACATCTCAGGCTATTGATGAGTTTTATAAATTATTTATGAGTCGTGGACACTGTCAGATCAGCTGCCTTTACACAGAGAAATGTGAATACTCTAGAGTTATGGGCAGGGATAGCTCAGTAGGTAGAGTGGTGGCCCTATGATTGGAAGGTTGGGGGTTCGAATCCACTGAACGGCTCCCCCGAGGTACCCCTGAGCAAGGTGCTGTCTCTACGCACTGCTCTTTGGGTGCCCAGTGGCTTCCCACTCCTTCTCTGAGTGAATGGGTTAAATGCAGAGAGGGATTTTCCCTCGGGGATCAATACAGTATTCATTATTATTATTATCTTATTAGTATTGGGCTAGGATAAATCAAGCTAGAAGCAGTCCATGAACTAAAATGAGTGTGACGCTCCTGCAGTAACTGATCACCTACACACAGCTTGAACTGGATTGCCAAAAGGGTTGAAATTACATACATAGTAAAGAGACTGGTTCTTATATACAGAACATGCCTCATTCACCCATTCATAAAAGCAACTTTTCTGTGTTTTTTATCACACTCTGATGAATGCATCAGAAAGCAATTCAGGGTTCAGTATCTTGCCCAAGGGATGCAGCCAAGGACTGAACCACCAACCTTCTGATTAGTGATCTGCTCTACCTCCTGATTAACAGTGCACTGTGTGAATTGCCTGTCTGTGTGAATCTCAGGTGCTACTTGTTGTTTTCAGGTGAACACAAAACTTCATGAGACAAGAAGCTGTGGAGTAAACCAAGTGGAGAGGGGGTGGCCCAAGGACACCGACCCTGCTGAGAAGGAACAAACAAGCCTTTTCAGGAATAAGGTGGAAAAGGACGAGAGCTACATCAACAGTGTTCTGCAGCTGTGCAGAGTAAGATCCAAATGAATCCACAGCAGTCCACCTAGTCTTACTATGATGCATGCTGTCTGGTTGGAGTTTTGGGTTGATGCATGTTGGCGTGATGGTTGCTGGCTTTATGGATGGTTGGGTTAATGCTGGTTTGTTGGTTGGATTGATATTGAATGGATACATGTTGTTTATGGATGTTGTGTAGCCCAGGGTTACAAACAGATAAAAGTAGAAACCTTTTGTTAGAATTATTACACAAGTTGTTAATGCATTTAAGTTAAAACATTCAAAGCTAAAAGAGCAACACTGGTTACGCTGGTGAGGCTGCTTGGCTCTACACTTGCTGTAGCTGTGCCTCTGACGTAAGAGGAACATTGTTGCTGTTGAAGCAGAGAAGCAGGTGAAAGCGTAACGTGTCTTTTGTTAGCTAGTAGATCTGGAGACCTGAAGCTCTTTCCTTATAAATACACAGTGTTTGCACTAACAGTTGCAGCTGCTTAAATGTTAAAGCTTTTCACTTGGTAAACAAATGTCAAAGATTACAGTTCTATGTGATTAGCTAACTGGTGCTGTCTAAACTCACACTCCTTTGTGTTGGTGTTTTGGTTTGGAAGTTGAGTTGTTGTTGTGAGTTGAAAGAAAATGAACATGCATGCCTATTTGCACTGAGTTGTTTTAAAGTAGTGTTTTTGTTTACCACTGGTGTTATTAATTGGTATAATGAATAGAATATAGCGAGTTTGCTGCTTTAAAGGAGCAGTATGGATTAGATCTATGAAACTAATTAATTTAGTTTCACAATTGGTAAGGACCATATTACTATGTAACATAAAAAAATGAATTTGATAGTTGTACAACACATTAGAAAAAAGAACTTGCATTTAAAATTTTCCGTTAGTCCTTAGTTCCTTAAGCAGCAATTTATGGATAATTGGTAGCATGCGTGTGAAGTAATCAAATGGTGTCGTTATAGCAATGTGGCCAAATATCACATCAATCACAGCAATCACATCAATCTGTTCCCAAAGTCAAGGTGTGTGTCACGCAGGAGCTAACCGCAGCCTTAGGCTGTATATTTTGCCCCTTTGTTTAATTTCCAGTGGTCTTTGGCCAGTGTTATAGCAAGTTTGAGGCTCGCTTGCTGATGGTAGTGGACCCACTCCGCTGTTCCTGCTGGGAGCGCCTCTACAAATTGCTGCAGTACAAGGAGGTTTAGCAGTGGAGCTTCTTCCTTGTTGGCCCAGGCTGCATCTCTGGCTACTGCATTGTGCATTAGCATATGCAAAGGGCCTGTCCCCCGGCTCCATCCGTCCTCTTCAGAAACGGCGGTAGTGGCCCTCTGATGCCCTCTACCCAGTCGGTGTAGAATTACCTGGCAGACATTGTAAAAACAGCCCCTTGCTGATGCTGAAGGTTGAATGGCACTATTTGGGCCTCCCCCAACAGAAAAAGCAAGAACTGCGACTGTTCTCGCTCCCATCGGCTGCTCATGGTGCATGGCAGTCCGCAGCTCTCTCCTCCAGGCCCCAGCGTTCCAACTGAAGTAGGGGAGGCATGATTGAACAATGGCTGCCAGCCATGCTGAACCCGCAGCACCACCCCTGGATGTTGCCTTGCATGGAGGGAGAATAAATAACAGACTGTGACACTTGCACTTCGATTAGTTGATTAGTAGCAGGGCTCTAGAGTGCGACCAAATTTTTCAGTGGTGCGACTAAAAAAAAAATAATTTGGTTGCACCTGTGCGACCAACTGTTCGGGTAGCAAAAAAAAAAAAAAATCTGCAACCTTCCCTGTGGTCAACAACAGACACACATTTTGCCCCTATCGTGGACTAAACCAATCAGAGATAGTCAGGGGCGGGACCTCTCTGATTGGCCGTGGTCCAGTTGAAAGTGCAGGTGGAAGTGGGAGGTGAGTAGCTTGAATAAAGCGATATCAATTCATTAAATCCTGAATCGACTTTTAAATATAACTGTGTTTTGCCAGAAACGCCAGATTCTCAGATTAAAGCTCACAAAACCATTTCAACAACAACCAAACAGCAGATGAGAGCAGGTACACGGATTCCACACAAAGACGTAAACACAGACCGACGCATCAGAATCAGCTTTGTCTTTCTCGGCTTTCTCACCCGACGGCCCGTAGACGGACACGCTGTCGGAGCTTAGCGATTCTGATGCGTCCGGTCCGCGCTGTGATTACGTCTTTTTGCGCTGATTCTGAGCTGCAGGTTTTGTCTCTCCAACCAAAATTCACCGAGCCAGCAGCAAAAGAAGCAGCAAACTGCGCTTCACATTTGATCAATGTCGTCATGAATTTTGCTGTTTTGCTTCCACGACTATTAAAATCACACTTCATGCACAGCTAGCTCTCTCTCTCTCTCTCTGTACTTCAAGAACAGTTTCCCGTCTCCAATCTCTGTTTTCTGTATTATTCATTCGCTTATTACCCACCAGTCTACCGTTGTTTACAGCGCTGTGGCTGCTGTCTTTTTCTTTTCTTTTTTCACTTAAATGACCTCGGACAAGAAAGCCTATTTTTTCTGTTATTCAATACTGAAGAAATTTAAACTTTATATGCAGAACATTGTAGAATATTTTTAAGGTTATCTGCTATAAAAAGCCAGACCAGGAAAATCTCCTTCATGTTTTTCTGTTTTATTCTCAGTTACTTTCACACAAAGGCATCTGCTGTGATGTTCACAATTCTGATGAAGTCAGTACTGATAAATGATCAGAATTATAATATTTCTGACTGTCTGAGGCTAAGTTGAATCGAATCGGGACTTTGAAAACCGGAATCGAATGGATTATAGAAATCAGTGATGATACCCAGCCCTAGTGAGCAGCCTAGGCACGACAGAAGTGGATGTAGCTGTAATAGGAAAAGAACTATTGCTAACTTTTCTGTTAAGGCCTGATCCTTCTGAAATTCATAGCCAGTGCTCTGACACGGTGTCATCAATCTTTGAATGCTGAAAAAGCACAGTGTATCCAGAAAAACACATTATATTATATAAATTATTATAAAATTTGTGTGCGCCTAACTTTAAAAAGTTAGGCGTACCTGCGGCTATGTTGCTGGAATTGAGTACGCGTACCGGTATGCCCATGGCAAAAAGTTAGTCTAGAGCCCTGAGTAGTGTATGATGATAGCAATAAATCAACAAAAGGATCAATGAGTGCATTTCTGGCTCTGGTCACACCCCTCATTCTATGATGTCATTCTAATGGTATCATGTTGTCCAGGTCATGGAGGATGCCATCAGACTGAACAATGCTGTGGACATCCATCAGGAGTATTTCAAGGATGAGGAGGAAGTGAAGGAAATTCAGGAGTCACCATCAGAATATAGCGTCAGCCACCATCAATGTCTTCAGGTATGGCTGACATGAGGGGTGTTTAGCATCATAGTCATTAATGTAAAGCATTCTGTCCTCCTCGTTTATGACATGTGGATGATGGATAACCTGAAGCTTCTTGTTTTTTGCCCAGAAAATTATGTACATATTGAGTTAATAAGCATCACTGTACCATGTCAACCAATCAAACAATTATATGGAAACATGGCATTTGGTTGTTTAGGAAGAGGGGGAAGTTTTAGGAGTGAGAGAGCGAGTAAGTGAAAGAAGGAGAGAGCAAGTTTTGAGATGTGAGAGGTGTGTGACGTTTAGTGTGTTTGGAGTCTATAGGTAGTTTGATGTCTTGTGTAGTTAGTGTGTAGTGTAGCTGTTGTTTTGTTTTGTGTGTCAGTTATACTAGTGAATGTCACAGTTGTCGCAAAAGAGCCACCAACGGAGGATTGCAGTGTAAACGCTGTCTCCGGGTGAAAAACAGGAGGAGTAATACACCTCCTGTTGTCAGGTGTGCAGTGTTTAGGCCTGTGGTGTTCTCCTCTGTCTTATAGTGGACAGAAACAGTTTTTTGGAGTGGCACAAATAATGTGTGTACCTTCTTATTTGATGCAGAACAGCTGATTGTTCTGTAAATAGTTTTAAATGCTTATATAAAAAGCCTTTGCTGCATTTTTAGGTAAAAGATTGCATGTAACTTTGTTGTTTGCAAAACTTGTGGATACATTTTTAAATTAAAAATTTCTATTTGCATTTCAAGTTATGAAGATATTTTGTTAAAAATGTTTGTGGTGTTACAGTAAAAACGTAACTTTTTTCTACTGGTCTGACATTACCTCAAACTCTGACAGGCGATAACTTCCAGTTCAGGTTAGACCCAATCTCTCTGATTGGTCAAAGCAAGAGTCTGCCTATCTGAAATTGCTCTATTGATCACTGTTGTTTTTTTCAATGGTAAAGGGTAGGGCCACCTCTAGTTTAAATTGCTTTATCGCTGGAGGAGGAGCCACAGCTCAGGGTTTGCTTCGTGAGTCAACGAGATTGTCATTTTTACCTACACTGGCCGATGTGTGAAGACGCACCTGACTCTCTTGGGGATTCTCGCTCCAATACAATCACCTCACAATGTGTTGGAGCATGTGTAGACGGACTAATTCAGATTTTGTCATGGTCCGGGTGAGTTCTGGATTTTTCCAGCGTGCCGGTGGTCTCAAACATTCAGTGCCAGGATGTCGACTAACCCTCGTTAGTGAAGGCTTCACAGTCGTAGAACCTCGTCATAGTTAAACTCTGTTTTAATTCTGTTTTTCCCTCTGCTCTCAGCAGCCCGCTGGATGCCAGCTCTTCACCTCCATATTCCTGACCTCAGTCCGACGCCGGTCTGCTCGCAGCTTCTTTGTTCCACGCGCCTGCCTCTCTGCCCAGCTTGCAACAGTTTTTGTGTTTTCGGACTCCGTGCACCCCTCACCCGGACCCCTCTCCTTTCCCATCTACGTCTCGCCTCTGCCTGCACAACTAAGACTGTTACTAATCACTGCCCATCACATTTTAATACCTGACCCCACTTGCATTCCACTTGCATTCCTCCCTTCCCCTGCAGCATAGGGTTCACGCTCGGGATTTTACCCAGTGTCGGGTTCCTTAGCTGCTCCCCTTACAGCATGAGACTAATTCCCAGGACCTTTTTCACAGCACATAAAGCGTACGTCTAGTTCATGGTCATGTTTTTGTTGTGTGATTCTTTTAGTGATGTCTAGCTGTGCCATAGTGTGTATATAAGCTCATAACTTAACACAGAAACTTTAGCTTGTTTCATTGACCGAGTGTTTGATACTGTTCAAGAAGTTTTGTATGAATTAACTCATAGTGTACTTTCGTGGCCTGTGCACACTAGTATTGCTTTAGTTAATAGTTCTTTCTTAGTGGTTGTTTCCCTTCCAGAGGATTTTTCTACTTCTCGCCCTTAGTTCATAGTTTTAGGTCATTTGCATTTTGTTGTTCACCCCACAGTTTGTGTCACTCTATTTGCAGTAATAAACAGTTGCGTAACATCCACACCTTGCAACTCTGAGTGTTGTCTGCACCTGAGTCCATTTACCTGTTTTTGGCCGCTCGGCAGTGACAGATTTTCCTTTTTTGAATCAAAAAAACACAAGTAAAATGAATTAAAGCCTTCCAATGCCAGTGCGGCATGCAGCCTCCAGCTTCCTCCGTCCTCACAGGCCTCTGTTGTTACAAAAGCACCGATTTAATTAAGAAAAACCTTTTTATTGTCGTTCAACACATTTTCACACATACACACAGCCCCCCAAAAGCAGTTGTCTTAATTTATTATTTTATTTATTATTTTTGGACATATGATTATTGATTAGTACCAAGTTCAGAAATATCATAATGTGATGATTTTCATAAAACGTTATAACTGTTATTAACTCTTACTACTTCCTTTATTATTTCCTCAGTTATAAACCAGGGTTATAAATCACTGGTTTGATATAAGGTACATAATATCTCTCCAGATGTGCTAACTCATGGTGTCCAAGGTTATCTGGGGAAGTAGCTGAAAACAAAGTGAATCTTAACTAAAAGAGACACACAAGCCCCTTTCATCATCAAGAGAAAGAGGCAAAACTTAGAAGCTAAACAAATGTCAAGAAGATTAGATGAAAGCAGATACACTCCTCTCCATGGAGCAGGAGTAAATCATCAAAACATATACAGCCACCACACAGCAAAGGCAGGCTAACACTGGAGTTCTGCTGTCTCTTCCTAACTGCATAGGACAAACAGCTGCACACAACAGCAGGAGAGGGAGCAAAAAAATCACAAAATCACAGTGTTTCATGCTAGGCCTGTACGCCACACACAAAATGACCAATGGGTCTAAAAACTACTGGTTATGGAATTGACCCGTCAGCGATGGTCAGTATACTCCTCTAATTCTCAACCCTGGTCCGATCTCTAGCCAATCAGCATCCTGACTGGTAATTGCTGTACTTCTTATGTCCTCAGAGATCCTAATGAGGTCAAATGTACTGTCACCAACCTGTCCACAGGCTGACTTAACACCACATCAGGGTCAGTATGTTCACTGCAGAATGTTTTGTGTTACAGGGAATCAGAACAGGAGTTGCCTGTCTGGAGTTTGAGTTTGAGGCCACCGTGGTGAGAGGTATTTCCGTTTTTAGGATTTAGAAAACAGTTCTCTGTTATGTGGCTTCAACTACATCATTATTACCGAACGTGTTTGATTCAGTTTGGTAAGCTCCAACAGTAGACTTGTGAGTATCCCCACTGCTGCCTTTCATTCTGGGAGTTTGGTTTTTGTGCTGGAGCTGTATGTAGGGTCATCCTGGGCACATCCAGTCTGGATCACTCCACTTCCTGCACCATGAAAACATTGAAAATGATGTGAGGAATCCTATTACTATTTAAACAAAGTAAAAGGTCTGATGACTGATTTTAGAAAATGTTTTGTATAGTCACTTTCACTTATTCTGGACAAAATCCCAGAGTATGGAAGAACAAGCATTAGAAACAGTTTGGGTTCAGCAGCATCATTCTGCTGGACAAACCACAGCTTTCGTATCCTACATGACGCTGTGTGGAGCTTCAATGTAGTGAAGCTCCACACAGGACAGGACTGCTCGCATTAGTCTGAGGACATCAAAGAGTCATCCATCATGTGGACCAAGTAGGAAGCAGTGATCGCAAATCTCTGATTAAAATTAAAAACATACTTCCCAAAAAGGGGATTTTGTTCATCTGGACATGGTGTTTTGAGTGGGAGAACTGTTTCATCACTCATCTAAGTGACTTTTTCAGTTACTTATTTTTTCAGAGGTTACTTGGATATCACAATGATGCCATAAAGTTTAACAAAATACTATACTGACTGAATAATTCTTAAAATCTTAGGTTTTTATTGCTTGCTCAAAATTCTGCTCCAGTCATATGTGTAAAGGTAATAAAGTACAGCTGCCATGGGTTAAAAAAAGGATGAGGTGTTCAGGAGGTGCTTGGAAATTTGAGCATCAGTTTGAACAGCAAGCTATATAATGACAATGGTGATGTCTGAGTGTGTCTGTGTCTGAGAGAGAGAGACAGAGAGAAAAATATACTAGACTCACGAGTGTAAAAGTTGGCAGCTGAAATACCTGAAATTCTGGCGAGCACTCCCGGAAGTTTTGGACGCCGGGTGATCATTCGAGCTGGAAGTGTTCCCACGCTGGAGACAGCCTCAACTGCCGCTCATAAGCCGTCACCAGCTGCAGCTGATTGTTTATTAGAGACACAGATTAGAGCACAGATATGGAAACTGTTTATTCACTGTCACAAACACTCGCACTGTGTGGGGAGAATCGAGAAGATCACCTTGGAAAGCCACAATGCTGAAGATTTGGATATATTTGTTGTCATCACTGTTAATAAATTCACTGCTTTGTCTCGGAAGAGTCTTGCATTGGGGTCTGCTTCCTGAACCCACACCCTGACAGCGATACATGTTAACAAAGAATATGCTTCGATTCCCTGTAGTGAACAACAGTTGTAACTCTAAATTTGCTTTAACAAGTAGGTCTTTCTATAAGGCTTAATTCTCCAAGGTATGGATAAAAGAAAAAGTAGAAAAGATGAAAGTAATTCCTTGCTTGTATGTTTGCTTTTCAATCATGAACTGTGCTCCTTTCTGTGTGGTAGGAAATTTGTGATGGCAACAGGTCACGCTTCTCACACCTGACAAGCTTCCAGAAAGGTCAAAAGGTCAAAGGCAAAGTCCTGAGATCAAGGGTCACCATCAATCACACTCAGATTCTTGACTGACATAATGTGCCCACCTGTTTAAATGTTTAAATGCATTGAAATGCCGCCATGTGACTGGCTACGCAGGTACTCGTGTTAACAAACAGTTGAACAGCTGTACCCAATAAAGTGGCCAGTGAGTGTAGCTGGAGATCTGCAAATAAACTATGCCTACTACTACCCTCAGCAAGTGACATCAATATAGAATAAATAGCAGTAGGCAGGAATCAGACAAAGTCAAATAAAAAACTCTGTTAAATGAGTAACGAATCCTCCTCCTGAAATGCCCTGTGACCTCTTAACCAGCTGGATTAAACACAGGTCAGAGGACATCAAAAGATCAAGAAGAATGATCTCAGTAAAGTGTCATTTCCCGTAACAGATATTTTGCTCTATTTTTCCACAACCCATGAAGTCCGTGTTGGTAGTAATAGCTGAGTAATGGCTCCCTCTGCCTCTGATAGGAAACAGGCAGACGGGAGGAGTGATGTGACCTCACTGCCGTCAATCACTGCAGGTTCAGTGGGTGGCAGGGAGACAGGTAGAGACAAGGGTGTCGTTAGAGTGAGTCACAGAGATGAAGGGAAACACACACACATAAACATACAATACCTCCATCATGACACACATTTAGACACAGACAGCTGAGCAGAAAGTGACTGCGATCATCTGTTTTAAGACAGTCAGGTGAGGTGCAGGATTTACGGCTCAAGTATTTTTATTTATTTTTTCTGTTGGTTGGTCACTGTAAACATTTCCTCACATCAGCAACTGTATTTGATAAGTGTTACTTTTTGTATGAATTATATAACATCAAAGCCCGGTAGTCAGGATGAAAGCGGTTTCCTATCGGACGCTTTGTGACTGAAGACCCACAAGGGGGCGCAACAACATTAAGAAACACGACTGTGCTGTGAAGCGTTGCTTAAAAACCGAAAGTGGAAAGGCCGGTTTTGGGCTCCTTTGATGGATTGATTTGTTTAATCCCCCCCATTTTATTTAAGTACTTTAGGCCTTTGGCTATTAGCTGCGTGTTTTCATTTATGTGGTTATGTAAGTTTCCTTTTTGTAAATATTGGAGGCGTATTTTGCTACAAAACTGTTACAATGGGAGTAGCTGACTCCCAATAAAAATAACTAACTAACTAAATAAATAAAAATAATAATAATCATGTGTTGTTCAAAAGCAAAATGTGGCTTTTGTGTTTTTGAGATATTTCATTAATATTTATATATTTTACTATTATTCATTATTATTATTATTTATTTTCTGCTTAACATTTTAGGTAATTTTAGGCGCAAAAAATAATAATTTTTGGGCATCGTCACGACCTGCAAAATAGTGCAATTTTTATATTAACTGGGAAAAAATAAATAAATAACTGAGGGTTGAGGAGGAGGGAGCTCTGAGGTGGTGGGATCAGGAGGGAAAAAAGGAGGAGAAGGAGACCGAGGAAAGGCAGACCTCAGACCAGCCCGCCTTACCTCACTCCCCCTGTCCGCGAGCCCGGTGTTCACGGGCAAATCTGACCGCAGATCAGCGCACTCGGGCTCCCTACACACTACGAGTTACACCAACTGGGACTGAGACCAGAGGAAATCGTGTTCGTCGGTAGCCAAGGTACGCACGCCAAGACTCATCCACAGCAGACCGAGGCGAGGGAACGGACAAGAAGGGAGAGAATTCAAGGGGAAAGCTGGTAGGAACCACAGAGGAGTGCAAAAGAAAAAATCCCCACGCGTTTAGGGGCGAGAGGAGAGGGTGACTGGCTGGCCCCGCAGAAGGAGTAGTATTACGCGAAGCTAATTTCCAACATTTTCTATTCTTGGCAGCGAGAGTGTGCTCTCCGAGCCACATTTATAAAGAGAGCTAGCGGAATGTAATGCTAGCAGGCTAGCCGATGTTAGCTAGCTAATTAGCTTGTCAGGCATCCGAGAGTCGGACGTGTGATCTTTATTAAAATAGGACACTGTCGTCGTTTTTCTTTTTTCAGGGGGAAAAAAGAAAGAGAGGGACAACTGTACTTAATGTGCTTTGTGTTGGATTCTGCCATGGTTTTAAAGGGGTGTCTCGCATAGCTAAGGCTAAGTTAGACAATAAACAGTGCAAGCTTGTGTATATTGATGAAAATCCGTTCAATATTATCTGTCTGGGAAAAGCCAAATCCATTGTGAATATCGAGCCGTGGACAAACCAAAAGGAGAAGGCAAAGGTAACAAAAGAAAAGAAAAAGCCAAAGAGACTTTTGACTGGTGACTGTCTCCCATCCAATGTTAATGTC